AGCGGCTCTGCAGGAGATGTGCAGAGGTAACCGCAGGGTTTTGGGGGTTCACCATGGGCCCCCCATGCTGTGCCCCATGAACGAGGTAACTGGGCTCATCCCCAGGTTTTCACTTGCTCCTTGGAAAGAGGGGCAGGGAGGCACAAGGGGAGTGGTTTGAAAGCCTGACTTGCAAGTCCTGGCTCTGCAGCCAGGGACCGGCATGGTGGGCAGTGTGAGTGAGGGCCGGGGAGGCCATCTAGCTAAAAACCTGAAGAATAAACATGTTTGTGTTTGTTTCCAGGTGCTCTGTACCAGGCTAAAAACCATAGGTTTCATGGGAGATCTGCAAGGTCCAAAAGGAAAGACTGGGGATAAATTACGAGGAGACAGAGAGAGTGAGAATCAGAATTAATCAGATGAATTATATAAAGCAAAGTCATTAGTGATTAATTAACAGGTTAGCCTACAGAGGCTGGATTTCATTTCTTCCAGGCTGTTTGTTATCCTCACATGGCAGCATCAGTTTAGGGGAAGAGCTATCCTCCACCTCCTGAGAAATGAATTCTCAGGCAGAGCAGAATGCCACCACCACCCGGCAAGTCTCTGAAGGAACCAGCAAGATGCGCAGAGCAGCTGTCCTCCAACTTCTGAGCCTGCAGAGTGTTTGGGGAACATCCCTGGGACAACTCCTAAGCAATCCTGCAATGAACCCTGAGGGATAAGGAACAAAATCTGCTTGCAGAGAGAACCCGAGCAGCAGCCAGGACTGCGGAAGCCCTGCTTGGCCTGTGGGACACTCTGCTGGGCATGACGCTGCAGCGTCTTGCTCTGGGCTGAGCTCGTCACTGGGGTGCTGCATCAGCCCCCTCGGGCATCAGCAAGACCTGGATCCATCCTGCTGTCCTTGTACAAAAACCTTTGGCTTTCGCTCCAAGGTTTACGCTGTGATTAATACAGGAGAGCTGCCTCGCGTGTTTTTGAATCAGAAATGTGCACAGAGATACTTATCTTGCCAAGCACAGACAGAGAGCATCACCAAAAGAGCAAAGCGGCTGGCAGTGAGCTGTGATGTTTATGTGACCCATCACAGTTACTTCCAAGCCCTGAGATAATCACAACGGCTGTGCTGTGAGACGAGAGGAACCAGAGCTGGGCTGTGCCAGCGGGGGCAGACCCCCAGCACAGTG